GTATCACAAACCTGCAAGTGATATTCAGCATTTTTGCACATATGTCTGCTAAAGTAGGAATTGAGATAAATAAAGAGTAAATTGTATTTTATTCGTTTTTAGAATTGCAAATGAAATGATAAAATATAGTTAAGCATAATATCATGCCAAATATAAACCTTTATTAAATAAATTTACTAATATATAAACTGTAATATAAATAGAAATAGAAAAAAGAAATAAATTTAAGCTTTAGACATGAGCGTCGATATCAATAATATACATATCTATACAATTGTTTTAAATAAATAAATAAACATTTAGCAGATACATATGCAAAAGTATTAATGATGCACATATCATCAAATATTCACTGAAATACATACAGGCTGTTTTAATTACAAATACAAGAAATTATTTGTTATATGTTTTAGAACATTATCAGTGCATTATTTGTTGTACAACGAATTCCTGTTTATGATTTCAGAAAAGTATTCATTGACATGTTGTGTATAAAATTTACTTGAACTCACATTGACGTTTCCGCATAGAATTAATTCCAAATCCCCTCCTCAAAATAAATCCTCTGAAGCATCTGCTAGAAGCCCCAAAGCTGAACATTTGTGAACCACTACACCACACTACTTTGATCACAGACTTTATACACTTAATTTATAATTTGCAAATGTCCAAGTGGAGTCTTCGTGACTCAACACACGACACGACGAAAAGCAACAAACATATTAGAGAATTTGTGAATGAATTGGCGACCTAAAATTTGACAGATACATTACAGAAGTACTTGCAGCCTTCCGAATCTCACAAACACACATCTATACATATTTGACAATTGCAATATAAATATAAAGGATACATCGGAAGCTGTAAATAAAGTATTTGCTTACAATGGTAAATGTTGAAAGAGATATCATAATTATCAGAAGTTAAGAGGAACATCTTCACATATCTGCTCTAAAAACATATCATCACAAACGAGTTTTATCTCAAATTGATATGCATATAATATAAATGATAATAATATAAAGGATACATCGAAAGCTGTAAATAAAATATTTGATTATAAAAATAATAAGTATTAAAAATGTTGAAAGAGATAAGTTAAGGCTGAAGAACATCGTCACATATCTGCTCTAAAAACATATCAACACAAACGAGTTTTATCTCAAATTGATATGCATAATTAGTAGAACAATATAATGCATCAATTAATGATAACTAATGAGGAAATTAATTAAAAACAAAAATTAATTAATTTGCACGCGTCTGTCACAAATTCATTATAAAAATGGCCGCCATCGAAGCAAACTGCCATGAAGAACTGAACGAATCAAAGTGACAAAGTTGAAAGCGCAAAATTCAAATTTGAAAACCAAAAATTATCAAATTCGCTTAATATTCTTTGCTCAAAGATTACTCTGATAAATATAATTATGATCTTACCGTGTCCAATAGCAAAAATCGGAGAGATATTATCAAAATATTGCTTAACTTGCTTTTAAATTTTGATTGCAGTTGTATATTAATTATTATTTGTAAATAAAAAAATGCCAAAACATTTTAATATACTGAACGCTGTTAAATGTATTGAAAATTTGGATTTGATTTTTTTATTCATTTGAATTGTTAACATTGTAAAGATTATTCTAATAAGATTATTCTAAAGGTGCGTCCACACCTAACGAACGAACACGAACGAACATGTCGAACAAAAAAATACAAAGAAGAACGAACAGGAACACGAACGAACGCGAAAAATTCCAAACGAACTTGGACAAGCGCTTAAAAGCAGTGAGCGCTTGAATTTTCCTGGTTCTGTAAACATTTCTTTCAAAGGGTGCAATGATGCAAGGGCTCTTATCAGCCCTAATCATAGCAATTTTGCATAAGAATATTTCACCGCATTTCAATCACTTAAAAACTTTTAACTACCAATGACGTAGACATTATGCTAATTTCCGAGACGCATTTTACCGAGACAAATCACAATATTCGTTTTCCTAATTATCACACATATACCACAAATCACCGGACGACAGACCTCACGGTGGCACTGCCATTATCATAAAGTCAAACATAAGACATTACGAGACAGAAACTTTTTATACGACTACATACAATCGACAAATGTTTTAATTGACCTAATGACTCACAAAATTACAGTATCGGCAATCTATTGTCCGCCAAGGCACATTATTACTGAAAATCAGTTTACAACTTTTTTTACCAGCCTTGGAAATTTGTTTATTGCGGGAGGTGATTATAACGCAAAGCACACATTTTGGGGATCTAGACTAATAACACCTAGAGGCCGTCAATTGTATAATACAATAAATAATAATAATCTTCGGACATTTTCTACGGGTGAGCCCACATACTGGCCAACTGATTTGAACAAAATTCCAGACCTCCTCGATTTTTTTGTAGCCAAAAATATTAAAAACGAGAGTGTTGAAATAATTTCAAGTCTGGATCTCAGTTCTGATCATTCACCAGTAATTCTTAAATACTCCACTAATACTCCAACCAAAGTCATGAGTTCGCTTACAAACAAATTTACCGATTGGCTTCTTTCCAAGAATACATCGAAGACACCATTAACTGTAATATTCCATTAAAAAGTGAGAATGATTTGAATATCGGTATCAACAACTTCACAAATACATTAATTGCAGCAGCTAAAATATCGACTCCTATTCTAAATCACAATCACAGTCACTCTGTGCCCATAGATATTAAAAAATCATTGCACAGAAAAGGAAATTAAGAAGAATTTGGCAAATAACTAGATCACCGGAAGATAAAAGAAAATTTAACAGTGCATGCAGAGACCTGAAAAATTTAATAATAAATTATAAAAATGTTTCTTTTGAAAACTACTTACATAATCTTTCTGCAAGTAGTGTGAAACAAATTATTCTCTTGGAAAGCAACCAAAAAATTGAAAAGACCAATTGTACCAATTCCTCCTTTAAGAAAAACAGACGGTTCATGGGCAAGAAGTCCAGAAGAAAAAACTAATGCATTCGCCGAACACCTGCGCCTCACATTTCAGCCATTTTCACGTAAATGCAACTCTAATGATGAACAATTCATTTATGATTTTCTTCAGGATTCACCGTCGCTAGTGACTCATGATGTTAATCGTTTTACTGCGGCTGAAGTAACCCAAGAAATTGCAAAAGCAAATTCTAGAAAATCACCTGGACCAGACCGGATTTCTATTAAAATGCTTAAAGAACTTCCAAGAAAGCTATTAGAATGCTCACAATAATATATAACTCTATACTGAGAATGAAAACTTTTCCGCAGTCTTGGAAAAGAGCTAAAATAATCCTTATAGTGAAACCAGGTAAAGACCCTTATCTATTATCTTCCTACCGGCCGATAAGTTTATTGTCTTGCATATCGAAAATATTTGAAAAGCTAATTCTTCAACGGATTAAAATAATCCTACAAGAACAAAGTTTTATTCCGAACCATCAATTTGGGTTTCGCGACAAACATTCAACAATTGAGCAAGTTCACAGAATAATAAACGTAATTAACAATGCGCTGCATAATAAAGAGTACTGTTCTGCGGCTTTTTGGATCTCAAGCAGGCATTGACAAAGTATGGCATACCGGATTAATGTATAAAGTTAAAAGATGTTACCAGATTCTTTATTCCTATTATAAAATCCTATTTACAAAATAGAAACTTTTTTGTCAGCATCGCCGATACGGACTCAAATATTACCGAAATTAATTCTGGAGTGCCTCAAGGGAGTGTCCTCGCCCCAACACTATTTTTAATTTTTACAGCTGATTTTCCAACTTCAACTGACACGAGTTTAGCACATTTGCTGATGATACGTGCATCATCGCCACAAACAAAGATCCGACTGCAGCTTCCAACAGCCTTCAGCACCATCTCAGCTTAGCTGAGAAATGGTTTTCGTTGTGGAGGATAGAAGTAAATAGCACAAAATCAGTCCATATAACTTTCACGCTTCGCACCCAAACTTGCCCAGCAGTTGTACTCAACGATGATGAAATTATTCCGTCCAAAGAATCAATAAAGTATCTCGGCATTCACTTAGATAGGAAACTCAACTGGAAAGTACATAAAGAACAAAAAAAACAACAATAGATCTAATCTTCAAAAATTATTATTGGCTCTTAAACAGAAATCAGAATTATCAACTTACAACAAATTACTTATATATAAGGCTGTGATCAAACCCGTGTGGACCTACGGATTACAACTTTGGGGGTACTGCTAAAAAGAGCAATTTAAACATAATACAACGAGCACAAAACAAATTCCTGCGGCAAATATTAAACGCTCCTCACTACACGCCAACATGGATTCTCCACAAAGACACGGGTATACCTACAATTCAAGAACATATATCAAGTTTGCCTGTAATTATAAGAATAGAATTGACGCACATCCAAACCAACTAGCATGCAACTTATACCAGGAAGGCCAGCCGACCAGGCTCAAAAGGAAAATACCTCGAGATTTATTATAATTTATTTTATATTTATATTTTTTTCTCTATATTGTCTTTAGTTTTTTCTTTTTTATATATTAACTATAGTAGATACACCACTGGGCGTATGTGCTAATTTGTAAACAACCAATTGTAAACACTTGTCAGCATTCTCTGCTAAATATAATTATTTTTATAGATTGCAGAATAAAAATAAAATAAAAAAAAAAAAAAAAAAAAAATTTCAATCACTTCTTCATTAGACAATAAAATGATAAATGAACTTTAGAATAATAAGATCAGATATGAACCAATGAACTGTCACGGGCTGTCACTTGCATTATGGTATTACACATTTACATTCATTAAAATCATAGGTTAACTGTATAATGACTGTATATGTGTCAAAGATAAAAAATATCATTTAAGAGAATTTTATTTATAATATAAAATACATTATCTATTATTTAACTGTAGAATAAAATAGTTGCAATAAGCTGAACACCCTTATGCTTAAACACTGTGAAAGTTCAAACAACTAACGAAATATTAAAAAAAAAAACAAATATTTTAAATAATTTATATCATGATACAATTTGTATTACATTAAAATAATCATGGACAAACGTGCTTCGACAGATCTAATAAATACCGAAATGTATGTAATTTCACCCTCTAAAAATGTAAGTTCAGACTCATTAGATTCTGATTCAAAGTCTAGTTCTTTAAATTCAAAGCATAACAATGAATTGGTAAGTTCATTCCTTGAATAATATGTAATCAATTTTATTTATTTTTTTACATAAAGTTGTTATCATTTTAGGCTGAAGATGCAATCCCATTAATTTCTGGTGAAATGGTAGTCAGTTCATCAAAAGATGTTACTTATTTATGTCCGTATAGTGGGCCAGCTCGAGGAACGCTCTCTGTCACTAATTATAAATTATACTTTAAAGCAGCTGAGAGGGAACATTATATACTAGATGTACCTTTGGGCGTGGTTAGAAAAAGAATTAACTTTATTGTTCATAAATTTTATTTTAATTCACTTTAAAGTTTAAATATATTAGGCATTTTCAATTATCTAGTGGGCTGAAAATTTAATATGTTTGCGTAAAGCTTTTTAAGTTTCATAATATGCTGAACCTTATTTCAACCGTCAAAATTTGCATTAGGTATCAAGAATTGAAAAAGTTGGTGGAGCTAGTTCTCGTGGTGAGAACAGTTATGGCATTGAAGTATTTTGCAAAGATATGAGAAATTTAAGATTTGCTCATAAACAAGAATTACATTCAAGAAGAAGTATTTTTGAACGATTACAACAATATGCATTCCCTTTATCACACAAAACATCACTATTTGCTTTTACATACAAGGAACAATTAAAGAAATGGTTGGAACGTTTATGAACTCTAGCAGAACTTAAAAGAATGGTATGTTATTATATATCTATATTTATCTATTTTTGTGAAACACTTTAATGTGCCTTAATTTCAGGGTATTGGCAATAGTGATTCTTGGAGAATAACTAAAGTTAATGATAAATATGAGATTTGTGATAGTTATCCTTCTGTTTGGGCTGTTCCTGTTTCAGTAAGTTTTCATTTACTGCTATCATCACATCATAATAAGGCTTACTTATTGTTATTTCAACAAAATATGAAGATTTTACTAAGACAACTGTTTTTTGCTTCAAAATTTTGCAGTGTACTGATGATGATCTTCGAGCTGTTGCAGCCTTCAGGAGTAGAGGACGACTGCCAGTTCTTTCATGGATTCATCCCATTTCACAAGCGAGCATTACTAGATGTTCACAACCACTTGTTGGAGTAAGAGTTTAATGGTTTTGAATTCTATTTTTGTGATTATAGATGATAAAATACATTTTTTTGGAGGTCAGTGGTAAACGAAGTGCAGATGATGAGACATATGTCAGGACACTTATGGAAATAAATTTACAATCTCACAAATTATCAATCATTGACGCAAGACCGATGGCTAATGCAAT